ATTTCTGGGCCTAACTTTCCAACATTCCAAAATTTCTGGGCCTAACTTTCCAACATTCCAACATTCCAACATTCCAACATTCCAAGTTTTCCGGGCCTAACTTTCCAACATTCCAACATTCCAACATTCATGTTGGAATGTTGGAAAGTTAGGCCCAAACATCTTGGAATGTTGGAATGTTGGAAAGTTAGGCCCAAAAATCTTGGAATGTTGGAAAGTTGGGCCCAGAAATCTTGGAATGTTGGAAGGTTGGGCCCAGAAATCTTGGAATGTTGGAATGTTGGAAAGTTGGGCCCAGAAATCTTGGAAAGTTGGCATGTTGGAAAGTTGGAAAGTTGGAAAGTTATATATATAGTATACTTACCCAACACCTAGTAGATGCAGTAGTAGTGCTCTAGGTTTAATTTATTTCAATTATTTCACTTATTTTGAGGAGGTCTGCTACTCAAAATAGTTGAAATAATCCAAATAATTGAAATCCAGAGGCCTTAGGATTTAAATCATTTCAATCATTTCAAGTGTTTCCAGTATTTTGATTATCAGACCCCCTCAAAGTAATTGAAATACTTGAAATGCAGAGGCCTTTCTAGCTCTTGGGAGGCCATTTAAATAACTGAAATAATTGAAGTAACTGCCTGTCATTTCAATTATTGCAATCATTTTGGTTATCAGACCCATAAAAGTGAAATAATCGAAATGCCAGGAATGTTAATTGTTTTAATTATTTCAATTATTCAAATGGCCTCTCAAGAGCTATAAAGGCACCTGGATTTCAGTTATTTCATTTGATGAGCAGACCCCCTCTAGATAAATGAAATAATTGAAATAATTTAAACGCAGAGCACTACTACTGCATCTACTAGGTATTGGAGATGTGGACACTTCTGAATTCTTTGGTTGAGAATTTGGAAATTGTGGGCTTGCGAAGACCTCAATTCCTTGAAAATATAGCTCGTTTTTTGAATTCTGTCAAATATTTACATTGCCTCTAGAGAGGTTTAGAGGTTTTAAGATTTAAATCATTTCAATTATTTCAAATGTTTCGAGTATTTTGATTATCAGACCCCTTCAAAATAATTGAAATACTTGAAATGCAGAGGCCTTTCTAGCCCTTGGGAGGCCATTTAAATAATTGAAATAATTGAAGTAACTGCCTGGCATTTCAATTACTTCAAGTATTTTGGTTATCAGACCCCCTGAATACAATTGAAATAGTTGAAATGCCAGGAATTTCAATTGTTTTAGTTATTATTTCAATTATTTGAATGGCTTCTCAAGAGCTATAAAGGCATTTGGATTTCAATTATTTCATTTGATGAGCATATCCCCTCTAGATAAATGAAATAATTGAAATAATTTAAACGCAGAGCACTACTACTGCATCTACTAGGTATTGGAGATGTGGACACTTCTGAAGTCTTTGGTTGAGAATTTGGAAATTGTGGGCTTGCTAAGACCTCAACTGCTGCAAAATATAGCTCGTTTTTTGGATTCTGTCAAATTCTGGAAGCCAAATACTTGTACAAACCAGGTTTTTTGGGGGGCAAGCGTGGGTTTGGGGGGTGGGGGGGGGGTACCATATAGATATATATATATATATACATATGTATATATATATATACACACTATATATAACATATTTACAATACATATATATATGGACATTATATATATATATATATTATATTATATTATATTATATATATGTGAATTCCCTTTGAGCTTCACGACCGCCTATTGCCTTTCCCCAGAGCCAATAGGGAGTTTCCAACACTAGAGGGGCCCCTAGTATAGATCCTAAAGAATAGGAGTGCTTATAGAGGGAACCCTGAAAATGACCCCCGCCTTGGGGAACACGTCGATTAGGTAAGATCATTAGAATATAGTATTACATGATGTAATATGAAATAAACCCTCAACCCTAAACCCTAAACCCTAAATCCCATTTTCGGAAACTCCCAATAAGACGGCCAAGGTTTTCAGCTGCAACATCGGGTGCAGAGGCTCCTTTTTGTTGGGGGGCGGCAGACATGTCGAGTGACAGCGAAGCTCTTTTTACTTCGTAGAATCCCTGTATCCGACATCCCTTTAACAGAGACCACCAGCCTGTGTAAGGAAGGTCTGCTTGGGGCTGCGTCGTAATTCTGCTTACTGGTTGTTAGTAGGCAATGAGGGAATATGTTATATAGTAAGGGATGATAAAAAAACTGTATTCCCCTGTTCCCTTCTAAAAGGGAACATATAATATATAGGCATTATGTTAGGATTCTATTTCCTTGTTCCCTACCAACAGTCACTACGTTTGTTGATGTCGCCGCTGGCAGGTTCATTGCTGATGCTGGGCTTGGTTTGGCCGGGGCCCAGTGGGCGATTTCATAAGGCTTGAGAACTTGAGAGATGGTTCTTTGCTACCGTTTGTTCAGATCCTAGGAAGCCTACACCTTATCAACGCTAAACCCGAAATCCCATTCACACCCTAAACCCCAAACCCTAAACCCTAAATACTAAATCCTAAACCCCAAATTCTAAATCCTAAACCCTACGCCTGACATCCTAAATCCTAAACCCAAAACCCTCAACTCTAAATCCTAAACCATAAACCCTAAACCTTAAAAAGTGGGAGAAACCAGCCCAGGACAACTCTGGGGACTTCAGCTTCATTCAGAAGTTTGCTCGCATGAACCAGGAGCCTAAGTTTCTGAGAGTATATGGGTAGTTCTCTACCTTTTAGGGTCCTTTTTATAAAGGTGCCGTATTGTTTTGAGACCTAAAAAGGGACCCTAATTTAGAGAAGTACCCATATGCGGTTCAGGGTTTAGGCTTCAGTGTTTTTCAGAAAAAAGCTTAGGGTTTTAGCCTTTAGGGTTTAGGGTTGGGGGTTTTTCTTGTCTTGTGGACAATGCTCGGCTATGGTTACAACGAGAGTCGGAGTCAGCAAGCAGACCATGCACAGACACCGCTTGATTTTCTCGGGGACTGAGGAGCAGACGTATTCCTGGGATGTGGCCGTTGCTTACCATCGCAGAAACAAGGAGGCCTGGAAATTGGACTTAATGCGCAAGTCTTTCACATGTTTGCTTATGATGTGACTCTATTGATGAGTCGCGCATCACCTTGGAGAGAAGAGGCTCTGAACTCGTTCGCCATGACCGTCCTCAACTCTCTCCCCGAGTCCAGGACAGAACGCTTGGTTGACAGGCAGAAGCTGGTAGAGGCGGAGCAAGAATTGCAGCGTGAGAGGTCACTGGACTGCAGAATTTTTGCAATTGTCTCGCCGTGCTTTGACTGCTCCGCGGACAGAGCTATTACTATTATTACTATTATTATTATCATTATTATTATTAGTACTACAAACGTTATTGAACTGAGGTCACCTGGTGCAGCAGGGGGACTCAATGGCACGAATCAAATGTCAGCTCTCCAAGTCCAAGGAGAACTTGATACCGAAGCCGAGGAAGGCTGGGCACCTTTCGCATTCAAGTTTAATTTAGGGTTTAGGGTTTAGGGTTTAGGGTTTAGGGTTTAGGGATTCTGTAATACCAAGACACATACATTATACGATATTGTATCATATACTATATTATACGAAGTGACACCATATTCTACAATACTAAAGTACATTCCACTATATTCTACTATACTATGTGACGTCATACTGTATCGCATTACCTGATCTTCTATTGTGGCATATTGTATTATGATATCTCACATTATATGGTGTTATATCATATTTGCGATTGCCATCCGCCTTATCATCTATGAAGCCTTGCGTGTTTGAGTAGTTTTTACCACCTTTCCTTCCGCAGTGACGCCTGATCAAGACTCCTCACTTGAGCCAGTCCTGGCCTAGGAGTGCCGAAAGTCTTTGGGGGCACGTTGGTAGTTCTGGGTTGAGCCCTAAACCCTAAAACCTAAACCCTAAACCTTTGGTCCGCCCTTTGCAATCCTATTGCATACATTGTTGCCTATTGAGGTTGCTGGTGTCAAACTTTCCGCATACACGATCCACTGATCCTTTGTGGGACCTGTAAAGTGAGTTTGCTTGCTATTTCACAATATGATAGTTTGTTTATATGCTATATTGTATTATTATATTTAGAATACTATGTCATATTATCTACAATGTTTAGAATATTCTTTCATGTTATCTATGATATTGCTTTATATTCTACCATATCACATTATATCATATTCTACTCTACCGTATCATATTGTACTATAACACATTATGTGATATTCTAGCATATTATACTGTGTCTTACATTATGTTATGCAATATTGTAATCAAATTAAATCGACGTGTTTTCCCAAGGCGTGACGGGCAACTCGCAGTGGGGCCGTCGCCGCCGGCGACGCCGCATTTGGCAGGCGATTGTGGCTGTTTCTTGGACTTCGATAGCGAACTCACTGTTTTTGTAGCTTCCTAGAATAAACCCTACATATAGACTATATACAGACCCACATGGTTTCCTCATAGGGTTTTTTCCTTGGAACAAAGTGGGGTTTAGGTAGGCGCTTCGCCAAGTTAAGTTCACGTTCTTGCAACCGGGACTATGCTGTTTTGGGGGATGTATAGAACAAGGCCTCAATTTAGAAATGGCTTGGCAACATTCGGCGCATGCTCGACTGGGGTGTTGTGGTTTTCCCTTCTTTGCAGGACAACTTAACTTGACGTATGCACAGGTCGTACAGCGGGTTGCAAAAGCCATTGGATCACTGCTCGCGTGCCTCGGCGACTTCGGAAAGTTCGCCGCCACTGGCTACACCAGCTCCTTGCCTTTGTGCTTATGCGAGGCCCCCCAATGCAGAATTAAGAGTATACTTGGGGTCTCTCGGTCTTCCCATTGATGCAGGACACATGCCTGTGTTTAACCCAACTTACTCTGGCTAAGGAGCTTTCAGTACGAGTACGGCCGGGAGTATCGGTTTGAGCGCCGGCAATACGAACTTTTTAAAGGATATCCTTGGAGGGAAAACACCCTCCGGCTGGATTTCGCTGGATATGGGATTCTCCGTTGGATCCACGAGTGAGGTTTGGTGGGCGGGTTCAGGGTTTAGCGGCTCCCTCGTTTGCGATACTACTGGCGCGTGTTCGATCTATATAGCTGTGTCCGTCCTAGCTACCGGGAACGCAAAAACTCCATGGAGCCCCCTTTGTCCCATGGGTCCCACTTGGGCGGGCATGGATTGCAGCCACTGCGCGGGGGCATCGGTGACGATTTTGTGCTGCAGTTTCGATCTCACGAACGGGCACAACACCTGCAGGTAGGAGCTACGTGCGACCTCAGGGATTGCTTTGGCACTGTACGCGAGGTAGCCGACCTTTTGGAAGGTTGGCCCTCGTTCTTTAGTTTTGGTGCCGACTTTGATGGTTGGCCCGCCAGTCTTTGGAGGCCGTGCTAATTAAGTCTTGTTCGCATGCAGTGCGGCCGAAAAACGTGCACCAAAATGCACGTTAACCAACCAGAACCCACTAGCAGGTTCCCATTCTCAAAGCCTACATATTGGAAGCTATAGAGACCCTACAAAAAATGGGTTCTGGCAGGTTGAGGTATGCCTGGCGTCTATACGAAGAATTGTCCTGGCCCGTGACCTGTGCTGCCGTGCCGTCTTCCTACGCGCATCATGGGAGGAAAAAGAGCGACACATTGCACTGCGCTGCTATTGTTGATTGTATAAATCCTGCATGACCTCGCCAGGGGGTCGCCGGAGCCAGGAAGCAGAGCGCTCGCTGGTCATGGAAAATTTGCAGCTACAGTGTTCTGATGTGCGACCACGTTGAAGGGAGACCATTTCCAAGTGATGGGCTTCTGTCTCCTGAAGCCAGTTGGAGTTCGCGCCCGACCCTGTCACGAAGGGACCTGCCATGAGCCATGGCACTGAGCTCGGGGTTGCAACTGTCGAGGCCGGGTTGTGCCACTCCTCCCCCCGCTGTGTTTGGGCCCTTGGTTTCTTGTGTTCTCTTTGGTTGGGGGCTGAAGTCCCTACCCTTAAGGCAGGTTGTACTTGGTCTGTGCTGGGTATGTAAGGCTCCGAGATGACTGGGGGGACTTCCTTGGACTGTACCTAAGACCTCAGACCTGCTAAGCGTCGAATCCTTCTTTCAAACCAGGGTGTTCTTCTGTACCCACTACTAAAGCTGTTCAGCAATCCCTGCGAGAAAAAAACACATGTTGTGGGCTACTCGTAATGTGCTAGGAATTCAAGAACCCAAAAATCCCAAATGTGCCACTGAACAGCCTAGACTATATGTACTCAGACCATGTCCTCAAGAAAAACTTCATTCACCGATCCATGTACCCAACCTCTTGGTGTTTTGAGGTCCGTGCGTCTTGGCTGGAGTTAGTCCTACACCCAAAGGGGATAGAAGATCTTCCTAAGCTTGGCGACTTCACGCCCTCAAGTGTCCTCGTCCACTCTCAACGCTCCAGGCCCTGAAGTATGGCTCCTTGCAATAGAGTGCATCATATTCTTCGCACAGTGGACGCAGCTTGAAGCCTGGGAGGGCCACCAGAGTGCAACAAATATGAGTTGATTCTTCGTGAACTCCGCAAGTCCAACCTGAACCCTGGTCACAGTATGTCGAAGCCTTCCAGTGCAGGTCAGAGGCACGGTGGGAAATGATGACGGCTTGGATCCGGTGATCAAGGACAGGGAGCGGTTTCCACGTTTGACCCTATGAATCTGGGCGCCAACTTCCACAATTATGGTCCTCCCTTGTATAAATACCGTATAGGATACCTGAAGTATACTTCCAAAATATTGTTGACCCTACTCCCTGGGCCCAAAACTCCAAACCCCATTACCCCTAAACCCTAAACCCCCTCTGAACCCTAATTCCTAAACCCCCCAAACCTAATCCCGAAACCCAAAACCCCTTCACGAACCTGAGCGATGACGAATAAAAAATTCTGTGTGATGATAATGATCATCATTCCTGCTTGTCAACTACTTGTATGCAGGCCCGTTCTACATCCTTGGAAGAGAGGACAAACAAGCGAACCATTTGTCACCCAAATGAAGATGGCGACCACCCCAGTGAAGACAGTGTCCTCTCCTGAGCGTGGCTTCGATAGTTTTATGGCCTCGAAAACCAAGGCTCCGCCGACAAGGTGTTCCAACGACTGCAAACGGAGCCCTTCAAAGAAACCTGAACCCTAAATTCCATACCCTAGGCCGTTCCATACCGTCACAGTGTGCATCCGCCATGCCGAGAGGACCTGGATCTCCACGAGCTCCACGCGCACCTGCAGAAGAGGTTCGACGGCGACCCCAGCAAAGTCAAGGACCCGGAGCCGGAGCCCAGCAGTTTCGGTTTGGGAGTTTGGGGTTCGGGGTTTAAGGTTTAGGGTTTAGGGTTGAGGGTTGACGGTTTGGGGTAAAGCGATCTTGACATCTTGCCCCGACTAGCATGAGTCTACCAGGCTCCCCCACAACAAGTCCACCTAACTCTGCAATCTCTGGTTGTTGTTGGCGTAGGGATTTCACTTCGAAGTTGGAGTTCAGGCTATACCTTCCTTCTCCTTTACGAAAAGACTGTCTGGGACTATGTGGGAGATGATGTAGGGTTCATAGGGGATTCAATTTTTGGGCTTGGGCTCTCAGGGTGTAGGGGCTTGAGGTTTTTGGGCTCAATCCCCTGCGGACTCAGTAAGTAAGTAGAACTGTCGTTACTATTTGGGAGCAGTCATGGTGTTCCCTCAAGCGTGTTCTTACACACTCTTTAATGTGGGGCCCATAATAACCCCGCCCCCCTTTTTTTCCCAGTTTGTTTTGCGCGGATTTTCTGAAACAAACTCTGGGAGGGGTCCTAATAATATGGGGGGCGGGGGTCAAGGGCTCAGTAGTACTCAGGGCTGAGCGTGATGGGTTGTGGAGGTGTCTTGATACGAGCCCTACAACTGCAACCAGTTTTAACTTGGATTGTCGATCTTGTCCTGACTGTGCAGAGCTTGTATCTTTCAGAGTAGGCGGCAGTGAACCGTTGGACCTCGTCTGGCACGCCCCGGAGTTGCGAGAGCATCAACCCCGAGATTCGTTGGGCGCAGGTGTCAACAGATCCGAGGCGGGGCTGGAGGGGAACGCTAAGCTTGGCATGCTGGTCAGGCTGTGGGGTCTTAGGAGCTGCTTTTGCGGCTTTGGGTTCTCAGGAAGTTCAGGAAGTTCAGGGTGTTCGCAAGGCCAAGGCTTCCATGGCTTTGAAGTTCTAAGTTCATTACCGATGGGCAAAGAGGGCCAAGGCTTCGAGGAGCCTCAGTCCCCCGTGCCGGTTCCGTCGCCGCAAGATCTACTACCGGCTGCCCGAACAAGGTCGGGAAACCCCGGCACACCAAGTCCCAAATTCTATTCTATCCCCAGCGCAGACGGGCTTTAAGATCGCAACTTCCTTCTTGACAAGCCCTCACAGGTGCCGTCAATCCAGCCAAAATCTCCCAAACTCCGAAAGCCTAAGCCAAAAGCCCTCGACTCAACCCGAGCTGGCCCAGGAAGCCAGAAGCGCTGAATCCTAGGCCCTACAACCCTGAAGCCCTAAACCCTGAAAGCCAAAGGACGGCGCAGATTCCCGCTCCGGACTGCAACAGAGAATGACTTCTGTGTACAAGCACATGGATTGCAAGAGGTGGTTTAGGGTTGTGGGTAGGATTTGGGGTTTGTCGCGTTTCGGGTTTGCCTTTTGTTGACTTCGGTTGCAAGTCATCTTGCCCTCGCCGAGGACATTCAGTGCCCCTGAATCTGAACCCCAGGCACTGGAATCCGAAGCTTGAACGTAAAACCCTGAAAACCTAAAGCCAACACCCTACAGAACCGTTGTGGAAACCATATAGAACCCTGCCAAGTGGAAACCCAATGCGAGATGCGGCAGAGGAACTGCCCGAGACATAATTATGCGTGTGCCCGACGCTGGGGTGAGGGGGAGGAGTCGGGGTTCAAGAGTTTAAAGGGGGCGTCGAAGCAAACCACAAGAATTTGGACAGGGGTCTCAGAAAGTACGGTCCGCAGTCGTCATGTGCTTCACTTCTGCGTGTTTCTTCGTTGAGCCTCATCCGTAAGCCCAGATTTATGGACCTTAAATCCTATCCACCTGTAACCCTGAGTTCTGTTCTGAGAGGCCCCAAAGGCTTCCAAAATCCGCCTTGATATGGGCATGTGGCATGCTTTTTTCGGGTTTGTTCTTTGGCCAGTTTGGGCCTGCTCAAAGTATCCAACATGTGTTCAAACATAGGATTTTTGCATTGTCCGGGTTTTTTGGAACACCGACTCGAAATGCACCGAAGGTGCTTTTTGCTTGGATTTGGGTTCATCATGTTGCGGGTTTGGGAAGCAACAGAGAGGCAACTTTCAGTGAGTTTCGACCAATGCGGGTGTTTCAGATTTGGAGAACCTTGAGATGTCAAATTTCAGTCTGTTTTGGCCCGTTTCTGTCCCCCCCAAAGCATCTATAAGTGGCCAAAACATAGGCAACTTAGCGGATTTGGAGCAAAATGACCAGCTTCAGTGATTTGGGATCAGTTTGGGCGTCTCCAAACCCCCAGAAGCCGCCAAGACATAGACTTCCCACTAGTTTTCCAGGAAAACCCCAGACCTGAACCCCATACGTTCTTGACCCTAATCCGTCGGGCCGACAGTCGCTCTGCGAGCTGTTGCGGGGTTTGCGGTTGGGATTCCGGGTTAAGTGTAATGTTGGGGTTTAGGGTCTGAGGTTTAGGGCTCTTTGAGGTTCGGGGTTTAGGCGTTGGGTTCGGGTTTGAGGTTCAGGTTTGGGTTGTTCGTGCACCATGACATCTCCTTTAGTCAGACAATCTGATCTCTCAGAAAACCCCTGCAACCGCAGTCCCTGAAAGCCTGTTGATAAGCAAAGCGTAGCTGTCGCTAGACCCCATGATCTTTAGAGTTTAGACAGTGCCGTGTGCCCTGGAACAGTTGACACGGCTGAGGATTCCGTGAACGAGATCGGGGATTTCTCCAACAGCCTGAATCCCTCTCGCTAGGAGCGCTGTCTTGGGGTTTGGGCTTTTCGAGTTTCGGGGCAGGTAGAACAAGGGCCGGAAGGGTTAGACCACCTACTCAGGGTGTTTTTGGGTGTGATGATCATACTCTGGGTACAGGAAGTACTTTGGTAGAGGTGTGCAGAAAAAACCAGCCTTGCAGTGCAGAGTCGCAACGATGCATGTGGCTGCACGTACTCCCTCCGGAGCTCCCCTACTTATCTCGTTGCCTTCAGGAANNNNCCTACTTATCTCGTTGCCTTCAGGAAGTCCTTTCGGAGTTTCCGGGCGGCCGGCACCTCCATGCAGCACTACAAATTCTCGGGCATGGCCTGGGGCTGAGGATCTGCAGGGTTTCGGCTTTAGAGTTTTGGGTTTAGGGTTCAAGGAGCTGGGTCGTGTCGACTTCGTAACATCTGGCATAGATAGGTCCACGCTTGGCGAGAGGCTGTTTCCTTGAGAGGTTTGGCTGAAAAAGGTCCATGCTACGGTTTTGGGCTCAAGCCTGGAGAAGAGGCACCCTGAAGATCCTGAGGTCACCCAAGCCACCCCTTGCGATGGCGCAGAAGCTCGCAGCATTGCTTGCGTTGCAGGTGCTGACCGCCTCGGCTGCCGTGACTTCCTTGACGTTCGGACAGGACATCGACTACCCACCCTATGCTTCCAAAAACGCGACCTCAGGTGAGCTCACAGGCTTCGGCGTGGAATTGGTGAAGGCAATGAACGCTCACTGCTCAGCTACTTTGAACATTACCGTCGTGGAGACCAGGTGGTCCAACTGCTGGTCTTCGGCCGGAGGAGGCACTCTCGGAGCTTTGCTGGAAGATGGCACCCTGGATGCCTGCATGACCTACACGCACACGCAGGGGATTCGCAACACCTTCGCGGACTTCTCTGTGGGCATCCTGGATGTGAACAAGGCAGCTGGCCTCTTAACCTTGCTCGAAAACGGCATGCCCAAAGTGGATGGCCACTCGGACCTCAACGGCAAGACCGTCGTGGATGTCGGTGGCTGGGTGCTTCCCTCAGACAAGAGCAATGTATAGCAAAGTGCATGAGAAGGTGCAGGTCAGACTTTGTACTGCCCTTGTTTTGGTCAACTTGCACAGGCATGACCCTGTTGTAATCATTCGGAAGCTTATGCACAGTTCCGAGACAAGCTCTAGCGGCTACTAGCGTCCAGCCCCTTGCAGGTATGACTTAGAGGCCCCTGAGGCAGGAACCCACGTGATCAGACAAGGCTTAGAGCATCAGCGCTCTGAGGCCCCTACGGCAGATGGCTTGGACTTCGTGACGAACAAGTGCACCAACCAGAAGTACTCGAGCAACTACACGTTGGTTGTGGGCAATGGCAACGACGAAGCGATGACGATGCTGCGTAACGGCACAGCCGACGCCATGTTCGTGTATGCTGACCAAGCCAAGAACTACCAGTGTGATGGAAGCGTGGTTGCGGCATGGGATTGCGCGCTGTGGCAAGGCTTCGGCACGGATTATGCCTACGTCCAGACAGGGCAGTTCGGCTACGTCGTCAATGGCACCACCCTGGCGCTGTCCAAGAAAGGGAGTGGAGTGCCGGAAGCGATCAACTCCTGCTTGGCAGAAGTCATGGCAACAGAGGCATATTACGATGCTTGTGTGAAGTACGACTTGGTAGATTCCTGCTACACGAACAGCTTCTTCCCCAGCTCAGGGATCGTAATCCACGAGTACAACAAGGAGACCGACGAGCATTCGGGCGACTGCTCCAGTGGTTATTGCCCGTGCCCTGCGACTACGACTCAAACGGTTCAAACTTCGCTTGCGACGGGCTCAAGCATCAAAGTGTTGATGGGTGCGGCACTCTCCTTTTCAGCTGCTCTGCTTCTGTAGCCTGAAAACAGGCGAGAAGCCACGACCAGACGTCCAATTGAGACTCTGTGTTGTGAGGTGGTCCGAGCCGGGATCAAGCTGCCATAGGCCATGGGAGCCAAGTCCAAAGGACTTTAGAGCTCTTTCCTGCCAGACCACCGCATCAACTTGCACAACGACGAAGGGGCTACAGCCCCAGACGCGCATGTTTGCGTGTGCCAAAAGGTTAGGCTCTGTGCATATTTGTGTGTCCAGGCAGACAACCATAGTTGATGATGCCTTTCGCTGAGCTGAGGACATTTGCTCTCGGCTACCGCTTCACGGGAGACTTTCTCCAACGTCTCCAGATTGCAAAAAACTTGTTTACGCATTCTGCTGTCTGCTAGGATATTAGTACTGGTAGCTGCCGTAAACATTGAGTGCTGAAGACCCGGATCCTTTCAGCACGCCTTTCACCCGACGATTTGGGGCACTGCAGTACATCGGAGGGCTCCACTCCGACTTGGCAGGAGAGCTCCATGAATCCACCGCACTGTCGTCGTTTAGGGCACTGACAGGGATTTGCTCTTTCACCTCTAATTTGCCAGCGAATCTTCGAGGGGAGCTTGGTGCACGGTTGCCACTCTAAAGCCATAAGAGCCTGAGCTACGGCTGCACACGCTGAAGTGTGAGAGTTTAGGACTGACCTAGGCTCCTAGCCTCAGCTTCTGAAGCCATGAACCTGACACATTGCAGCTCAAACCTTAGATACTGGAGGTTACTTTCGCGCCTACTACAGTAATACTACTGCTAAGGCCGTAACAACGACAACTGCTACAACAACAAAAGCAATCGTGACAACAACAACAACCACCACCACCGCCGCCGCCAGCACCAGCA